GGCGCGGGGCGGCTGGGGCGGCTTGGGAGCCGCCTCCCGGTGCTTGTTCCGCGCCTGCAGGACCATCTTGGCATAGTCGCGCCCGCTCGCTGCGCGCGCCCGGACGGCGGCCGGAGAACCGCGGGCTGGCGGGGCGGCCGGGCGCCGCTCACTCTCCAGCGGGCGGGCGGAGGGCGGAGGGCGGAGGACGGAGGGCGGGCCCGTCCCTCCCCGCGGGCCGGGAGGCGGGGAGAACACGAAGGCCGGGCGGCGACTGCCTGCTTGGCGGTACCGCCGAGAGGCGGCGCCGGACTCGCGCGCTCACCGCCGTTGCTGCTGCTCCGGTTGTCACGGCGACCGCGGAACGCCGGGGGGCGGGGGCGGAGACACCCCGTGAGCGGCCGCGGCCCCGCCCCCGCCGCCCCTCCGCGCCGGACGCGCGGTTCGGAACGGCCAATGCGCACGCGCGGACTTCCGGAGAGGGCGGGGCTCGACCCAGCGGCCGCCCCGCGACTCCCTCCCTCATGGTGGCTCGCGCGGAGCTCCGGCTTGGCGAGGCTGCCGGAAGCGGGGCCGCTGCCTTTGGGGAGTGGCGGGGCAAGAGGAAGGTCCCTATGCTGTTAGAGGTTGCTGGTGGAAGTTTCGGAACCGATTAAGGCTGCGAGTGCAGCCCGCGCGGCTCAGGGGGTGGGGCCGGGGGAAGGCGCCCTGGGACGACCACGGAGGGGCGCTGTGCGCACGCCCGGGGGGCCCGGTTCATCCCGCCTGTTGTGTCTGCGCAACTTGGAGCGCAGCGGCGACCGGCCCCTCATTCTCGGATACGAAGAATCAGCACTACCCGTATTTAAAATAAAGTATCTCGCGGGCCGCCCGTAAGGGTTGAGGCACAGTGTAAATCTCAAACCGGGATAGGCGCCCAAGCTGAACGTGATAAATGGAATACCCCAGCAGGAAAGATTATCAACAAGTATGTTCAGTTTGTTGTATCTGCTGTGACCTTTTTGGTTAATAGAAAGCAGGTAAACTTTGTGGTAATAAGACAGGAGACTGAAGTTGAAAGTGCGTGTTCTTTCACAGAGCAACAGAATGCATGAGTAATTGAAACCCGGGAAAATTCAAAAAGCAGGTTAGACCCTGGTTATCCCTTCTCTCTACTTCCGAATTCTTTGGGCAAAGCTCTAGTGTCTCATGGATTATAACCCAGAGGTTCCTTTCCTGGCGGTGTCCAGTGAGCTTCATCCAAAAAGTTGTTTTTAAGTCCCGATTTCATAAATCAAGGCACATCATTCTGCTTATCTCCATTGTAATTCCAGGGACTTCACGAGGCTGTGGATTGTTTCTTTGAACCGTTCACTAGTATCCTTTTTTAAGGAAGAGTGGGTGCTTTTCTAAAAGGAAAAGTGTTTGCCATGCTGATCAGTAATCCTTCATACTATGTATGTTTTGTGAATTTGGATTTTCAGATGTCTTTATTGGAGCTGAAACAACTACTATTTTTGTACGTTGGTTTTTAAAATATGGTTCCAAGTGGAATGCAGAGTCCTTGGATTCTGAAACAATGTGTCATATGAATCCATTGTTACTTCTGGGATTAATGTTGAATTTATTAGATTAATAGACACCTAATACAACGTCTATTGAAGATAATATAAAGATATTTTAAATGATTATTAGGAAGATTCATGGAAAAAGAGGTTCAACCTTTGGACTGTTGTTTTTCTTATGTGTCTCCTCATCTGTGTGATAGGCCCTGGATTCAGGAGGTGCCTCCCTTCAACTGATACCATTTGACCAGACGTTTGCTAAAGGAATTAGATGAGTGGTTGAATGCAGGAGATAACATAATCAAATGATCATTCATAACACTGTCTCCTGGAAGGCATTTCATTCTAGCCCTCATCTTCCTTGGTCTTGAATTTCTGGAGGACAAGGAACCTTTTATGTACATCTTCAATTGTCTCTCAGAGCCTAGCTATGAAAGTTTGTTGAACTCAACTGAAAGAGGAACACACATATTTAAGACACACCTACTCGATTTTTATTACTACATAGTGCTTATCAGTGCTTACCCTTCTTGGCTTGGCAACCATAGATTCCCAGAGACGGGCAGTGTGAAGTATTAGTTTTTAAAAGATGTAGTCAATTGGGGTCTAGGTTCCAGTCAGCATTCACCCATACCAGCCCTTACATACAGTGTGTGTAAAGTATCTAACAATTATCTCTGTCAAAGTAATTGCTCAAGAATATTTAAACTCATTGTCTGGATCTAAGTAATTGCTCAGTAAGTGTCCCATGTAGTGGATAATATATGAGGAGGATGACAAGCTCTTTGTCTTCCCAGAGCCTGAGGCTAACCACTCAGGATGGGGTGTAGCAAGAGAGAATGTAGCCTAATGGGGGCTGGAGAGCAAGGGCTATGTCAGGGGTCCTCAAACTTTTTAAACAGGGAGCCAGTTCACTGTCCCTCAGACTGTTGGAGGGCTGGACTGCAGGCCCAGGATGAGTCGGCTGCTAAGCAGGACAGGCAGCAGCGGCAAAAACACCCGGTGGGCCAGATAAATGTCCTAGGTGGGCCACATGTGGCCCTCGGGCCATAGTTTGAGGACACCTGGACTATGTGATCTTTGGACCAATCCTGTACTCCCTAGGTTTCAAGCTTCTCAACTGTCTGAGAAGTTGATTCCCCCAAATGGTTCCTTGCTTTCCTTGGGTGCTTTATAAATGATGCCCATTTCATGGGTCCTTAAGCCTAGATACAATAGTAGGCAACTACTTATGCCCCTCCCTGCAAAAGAAAGACATTTTACACAGGGAAAGTAAAGGGGTGGAAACTAGAACAGTCATGGGAAATGATATGCCAGATTATATTTCCCCAGCACTATAAGACCTACAAGAGCGGTTAATTCATATCTGTATCCTTAGGCCAGTGCCTGCCACACAGTGGTGAATGCTAAATAAACTGAAAGCTGCAAGCTCCATATTAAAAAACTGTTGTACAGAGGTGATCTTATCAATCAATTTAAGGTTATAATGAATATAAATTAAGCATTACCATTACCACCCTTAATGTGCAGCGGCTCTCCACCAGGAGTTCCAGATGCACCAGAAAGGCACTTCCTCTTTGACTCTACAGAAATACTGGGCCTAGGCAGATTCTAAGGACGGGAACTTGAAAGGACAACCATTCATGAAGAAGCACTGGTCTAGTACCCTGGGTACAAACCCAGTCCTTTTCTTACGACAAACTACACTCTGGGCATTGACATAAAAATATTTAATTAAAAACATACATATCTTTTAAATATTGGGTGTGGAGACAGAGGAGATTATAAAGAGGAAATGAGCATAAAAAGGAAGAACGTAAAGTAATACTGGAAGATAAGTAAATGCAAAAACATAAAGCTTAGTGATTTTAAAGTATAGGCATCAGGGAAACATCAGATGAGCAATGAAAAAAGTTACATTTGGTTCAGGGAAGATTGCTGGGAACGAGTTTTCTTATTTCTCCACGTTGGCATCTTAAAGGCCCCATGTAGGACTTCTAAATGTTCCCCTTTCCCTCCACTTTCTCCCACCCGTAGAGTGACAAGCTCTATGAGAAATCTGCGGCATTTATTTCTCATTCCTTTGAACTGGGTCACTGCTCACTGTATTCGAGAAATGCCCTAGGATCAAGTTCTAGATTATGACAGTTGTCTTGCTAAGCAGATGCCCCTACCAAGATAGAAATCTGCATAATCTCAGCACCCTCCATAGACACCTAAAGTGGATGCAACAAAATGTAACATTCAGCTTTCAACAAAGCTCCAACATTAACTTGTCAGTGTGTTGTAATGTATTCCTTAGTCTGGAGAGAACAAATGTAAATTGCTACTTTATAGCTCTTCAGATTTTATCTTTTGTCTTTCTTAGTGCTGACCTTGTAATTTAAACTGTTCATGCTCCAGTGAGTGTTCCTGAGAACTCGAGAGAGTTCATTATTAGCCCCAGTTATAAAGTATATGGTTAAGAACCACTCCGTTGCAGAGGGGCTAGGCCTCTTTAAAATGCAATTCCTGTTATTGAGGGCTTACGATGCCTTTAGCACCTTAGCAGATATTAGAGACATTACACATTTGTATGTTAAATCCCCATCCCCAAAGGATTTAAAGTTTAGTTGAAGAGGCAGACTTAACTGGAATAAAATATAGTTAAGTAGCAAAGTATGTGCTTCAGAGCTTAAGTACTAAAAAAATTCCAAAGAGAAAAGATAATGGCTCACATGGTATAGTTTTCAGTGAGGAGGTGAA